GTGCCACAGGAGGGCGAGAGGAATTATATGTAGACCTCAGATGATCTACCTGAGATCTTCTCGGAAGTCTCTCTGCCAAATGTGACTAAAAACAAACAAGTGTAGCAACGCTGGCCTGACGCAGATGTGGTTGCCAGGTGCCCTCACTCTCTCCTGAATGAGAGTTTGGATTCACCACCAGGAAATCACTGAGAACACCAGACAGGAAAGCTGAGAAGAGGAATGTAAAATGGTCAGTGGAAGAGGAAGATGAGTACCAGTTGGCCTTGAGACCAACTCCAATGAACGGAGATGTCATGTATCCCTCTAGCCTCTCTCCTTTAAGTCTGTCTTCAGGAAGAAAGGCACACTGGAACCCTGGAGGAGCGACTCCCCAGATGCATATGGAGAAATGGATCTGCAGTATGAGATGAGAGACTGGAGCATCTAATTGTGCACTGCACACATTTTCCATCAGGAAGGAACTTGATGTTTAGCTGTGAGGTGTGCAGGTAGCTGACAGCCTCCAGCTTCAGTGGATTTGGGATCTGCTACAATGCGTGAGCCAAGGCCACATTCTTCCTGGATATCCCCCATCCCCACAAGTGACAGCACAGTGGAGGTACTAGTGATTGGCCACTTGTGCCCAACACACAACTCTCGAAGGACAGGCTATGCTCTGAAGTTTTGTATGGATTTGGTCAAGACTTTGTGGAGTGTATCATTCTTGGTTTTCTTCCTGATCTTACTTCCTCACTTCCTCCTTTATTTTCTTTTACAAGTGTTATCTGCCCTTTTCCTTAAACAAACAATAACAACAAAATGCACAAAAAGCCCAAACCAAAACTCTTGTACTTCTATATCCATCTTAGAGTCTGCTTCCCAGTGGAGCTGAGATGACACACATGTTTTGGCACGCTAGGCTTTTCCTTTTTGGCAACTAACATAACATTAATTGATGCATTAATTACGTAACAATTTCTTTACTTACATTGTCTACTACAACAAACTCTTTGAGAGCAACTGCTAGATCTCTTTTTTCACAATTGTATTCCCAGGGCCTAGTATAGGGTCAACTACTCAGTAAATCTTCCCAACCCCTGGAGAGCTGTACCTATATTTGTATTTGGCCATCCTGAGTATACTATTCCAATTTGTGTCAGGTGTGGGATGTGCACTGGATGTGCGCAGAAGGGCTTCCACAAGGCTCACTCATTGCATTTGACAGCCCAGATCATTTCTGCTAAGTCAGTGGTTCCCAAATGTTAGCCTGCATCAGAACCACCTGGAGAGCTTGTTTAAACACAGACAACTGAGTCCTCCACCCAGAGTTTCTGACTTAGCAGGTCAGGGTGGAACCTGAGAATGTCCATTTTTGACATGTTTCCAGATGCTGCTGCTCTTCTGGCCAGGACCACCATTTGTGAATCTCTGCCTTAGGCTCCTGGCCTCTACTTACTTGCAGATGAACCCAGCCTCTTTCTGAGTTGCCTTCATGTGCTCTTGCTCTTTCACCAATCTTATCAATGCTCACACGCCCCAAGCACTGCCCACTTGCTTGCCTTTTCCTTAGGCAACCTCAGCCTCAAGCAGAGCTTTCTTTTTTTTCCCCCGGGCCCCCCCGCACCCCCCACGAGTGACTATATCTCATATTCTTGTCTTAAGCCCATGCTTTGCTCTTCGGTTCAGGGTCAAAATTCCATCTACTAGTTAAAAAAAAGAAAAAGAAAAAAGCTGCACTGTGTATAGCGGGATCCTGGTTTACAGTAACAGCAGCAAGAAAAACGGATGACAACCACTTTGAACCTCAGTTTTCTCATTTGTAAAAATGAGAACAAGAATACTTATCCATAAAGAATTGTCATTAAGGTCAAATAAGCAAATGAATATAGGGCCAGAAATTATAGCTGAGGACATGTAAGATATTAAGCAGTGGATAGAGCTGGAGGCCGTTATTCTAAGTGAAGTAACTCACTTATTTGAAATATTGTATGTTCTCAGTTGTAAGTGGGAGCCAAGCTATGGGCACACAAAGGTATACAGAGTGGTAGAATGGACACTGGAGACTCAGGAGTGGGTGAGGAGACGGGAAGGAGGGATGAAAAGAAACTACATATTGGGTACAATGTATACTACTTGGGGGACTGTTACACTAACATCTCAGATTTCACCACTATGCAATTCATTCATGTAATAATAAACCACTTTCACCCTACAAGCTATTGAAATAGAAAATATTTTAAAAAATAAAAATATGTTAAGTGATGTCCACAACAGGCAAATGATCAAATGTGTGCCAGTTAGACTTGGGGGGGATGAAGGGAAACATGTTTAATTGCATAGGATTTTTTAAATAGCTCTATTTTCTAAAATGTATCTTTCCTTAGTACCCTTCCCCTACAAAAGAGACTATGAATTTAGAATCTTCTGTTTAAAGTTCCGCAAAAATGGTATTTTTTCCTCTCCAGAAAAAATAACAGAAACGCTATTTCAAAATCAAAATCTCCTTATTTTCCTGGAATAGCATGAGGCAAGTATTTAGTACTTTATATCTGTTATTAGATACTATATTTTTATTTCACTATTTATATCAAACCTAGAAAGTTCAGAAAAAACTGCTGAAGCTATCATGAATGTAAATTTAATTTCTTCATAAAACCCAGAAGACATAGCAAACTCAATATCCTACAACAAATACATCTAGAAAATAAGTTCTTTATCAAAATGCATTCTTGCTTCCTTCAAGCATGGTATAAAGTGGTAATAAGCTTATCACAGGGGAAAACAACTATTTTTGAGCCATTAACATCTAACAGTTCCAGAATGCAACAATTGTTACCAACTTGTGACAATTCCATTATATACATGGCTAAAAAGTTTTCCTGGGAGAGTGTACAAAATATATTACCAAACCTAACAAAAGTAAGCCATATAATAAAAAATGACTGAATAAAAACACAGAAACAAAACCAAAAATGACACACACACAAAAGAAGAAAAAAAGAGAAATCCTTTCTAAATAGGGAAAACATTTAATAAATTCCTTGAAGACAAGAGTTGGCTCTTAGAATGCATGCCTACCATACAATCAACCCTGTGTATTGCTATTACCATTTTTTGCCTCAGTAACAGTGGACTACTCCAGCTAAAAGACCACAGGTAACCTTTGCAGCTGACCTGTGAAACAAAGATTTCCAATTTCAGCTGTCACTTTCATAGAGTAGCACAATTAAAACAACAGAAACGCTTACATTTAATTTCCTGAACATCAGATATAATGCTACAAATGGGTGGGAAATGCAAACTTGGAAAAACAAATAAGTTAATAAGGACATGAATGACTGTACTCAATACCAAAGATGATACTACCATTTTACAGAGGAAGAAATTAAAATTGAGAGAGGTTAACAATTGTGCCCAAGGCCACACAGCTACTAAGCAAACCAGATCTATGCTCAGAGCCCATGCAGGACTGTAACCACTGTACCCCACTTCCTTCTTAGCTTTATACTAAGCTGTGCCATTTGCCCCGGGGCTGGCTTAAAGGCCAGCCACACTCCCTACACTTCACCGCTAATAACATTTAGGATTACAGTTCCTCTTATGCCCTATAAATAAAACAAGAACAGATCTTTTTCTCTAACATCTGCACTAAAGCTGTGGAACAATATGCCGTTATACTTGAAAGGAATATACATAAAGCCTGACTGAAGGTCTGAGGTAAGCTTCTAAACACCAAAGTGTGATTATAACCTAATGGGGGTCCTTCCTGAACTTCACTGAAGCACTGTGATCCACTGAGTCATTCTAAAACAGTCTTAGAGAATGAATGGCTGCAAGCATGACAGACAAGTTCTATATGTTAAGCAAAAAGTTGACCTAATTTAATGGTTCATAATTTTAAAAGTTGTGTTGATTGCAAATTCAATTATTTTATTTATTTTATTTTGAGAGACAAAGTCTTGCTCTGTCTCCTTGGCTGGAGTGCAGTGGTGCGATCATGGCTCACTGCAGCCTCGACCTTCTGGGCTCAAGTGATCCTCCTGCCTCAACTTCCTGAGTAGCTGGGACTACAGGAGTGCAACACCACGTCCAGCTATTTTTTGTAGTTTTTATAGAGACGGGGTTTCACCATGTTTCCCAGGCTGGCCTTGAACTCCTAGTCTCAAGTGATCTTCCTGCCTCAGCTTCCCAAAGTCTTGGGACTATAGGCATAAGCCACCGTACTTGGCCACAAATTCTTTTTATTCATTTTTTTTTTGAGATGGAGTCTTGCTCTGTCACCCAGGCTGGAGTACAGTGGCACAATCTGGGCTCACTGCAACCTATGCCGGGTTCAAGCAATTCTTCTGCCTCTGCCTCCTGACTAGCTGGGACTACAGGCACACACCACCATGCCTGGCTAATTTTTGTACTTTTAGTAGAGATGGGGTGTCGCCATTTTGGCCAGGTTGGTCTCGAACTCCTGACCTTGTGATTCACCTGCCTCGGCCTCCCAAAGTGCTGGGATTACAGGCATGAGCCACCACACCCGGCCACAAATTCATTTTTAAAAACTCACCAATTCTGTTTAATTTGGGACAGACATTGATTATCAATATGAAACATGCCCTTTTCTAAGTATTTATTTTCTGAAAAAAAAAATATATTTAAATATCTGAGGCAGAAATTAATGGAAAATTTCAAGATACATGTGACAACCTTTAGATCCCAAAGGCATTTGTTCACTTGTTTGATAATTGTAATGCAATTCATTTGCTGTATGAAATGAAACAGTTTTTGAGTAAGAGTCATCTAAGCTGTGGGAGTAACAGAATTATTTCTCAGCTCTATCAACACAGAGATTTCACAAACTGAAGCCCTGTTGTCCATCAAGGCAGCCACACAGCACCACAGTGGTTTCTGTGGTTGGACCTCTTCTCTCCCATTAGAGGCAACTGGCAGAACTGGGAGTCTGAACAGAATAGGATATAAGTTTCTCCCATCTTCCTGCAGTAGACTTAAAAAAAAAAAGCCCTTACCAGGAAGTTCCAGTTAGCTTCAATTTGAGTCACCATGCCAGAGAGGAACATGCCCAGAAAGAGAAGCGAAAAGAAAAACGCCGTCACGGACACAAACATGACCCATCCTTGTAGCAGAGGTAGAGGAACATTGGAGGAGGCAACCAAAATCCAGACAAGACCCCCGAACAGCTGAAAGAAAAAAAGAAAGAGGGTAATTGGTTTGCTTAAAAGATAACTTTCATACAACAGAATTCAACATGCTTTTATTACCCTCAGTGTTGCCTTCATTTTCCTCCCAGACCCCTGCACATATTCCAGCAACCCCACCCCTTCGATTTTCTCCTTATCATGCAAGATGCCTTCTTTCCTCAGGTGCAAGACCAATCCTTTGGCTTGGAGAACTGATCCATCTCCACATCTGTATCTTCAAGTTGGACTCTCTTCTTCAACCCATGTACATGCCCAGCATTCCTTCATCATTGACAAATACCTTCCTTTGACTTTATCGATTCTCTGACTACCACCTTTTCAATGAAGGTATTTTTTCAGTCAACCACACAGTAAGGGGAACATCACACACCGGGGCCTGCTGTGGGGTGGGGGTAGTGGGGAGGGATAGCATTAGGAGATATACCTAATGTAAATGACGAGTTAATGGGTGCAGCACACCAACATGGCACATGTATACATATGTAACAAACCTGCACGTTGTGCACATGTACAATAGAACATAAAGCATAAAAAAAAAACAAAAAAAAAGAAAATCATTGTCTACCCCAAGGCCATGAAGATACTCTGTTAGGTGTTTCTTCTAAAACCTTCATTATTTTTACTTTTCACATTTAAATCTACAACCTGTCTTATACTGATTTTTGCATTTCGTATGAGGTAGGGGGTCAAGATTCAGTTTTTCCCCATATGTATATTCAATTGACCCAGTGTCATTTACTGAAATGACCATACCTTCAAGAGTCTACTGTTGTCAATCAGGAGACCATATGCTGTGGGTTTGGTTCTGTTCCATTCTGTTCCACTGGGCTATCATTATGACAAAATATTGCACTGTCTTTAGACTAATCCCCTAAGCACCTGACATTTTAAAAAATCAGTAAATAGCATCATTTAAAAACTTCATGTTCTATTTGTCATGAGAATATAAATAAAATATATATTTACTGATCTTAAAAAAAATCATCTTTGCCTGGTCTCCACTTCCTCTCCCTGAAGTTGCTCTTCATATCACTATAAACCAGCTCCTGATCTCATTGCTCCTTAGAGAGTTTGTTAGTAAAAAAATGGCTAGAATAATAGTTGCAGCTGTTGTATATGGTAGTAAACAATAAAAACTACCATCATTTATTGAGTATCTATTATGTATTGGACAGAGGAATAAGTACTTCATATATCTGTAGATCTAAGTATCAATAAATACCTATTACATTTCAGGCTTTATGCCAGGTGCTGGGAATCAAATGGTAAACAGGTTACACTTGGTTTCTGTCACCACAGAACTCGCAGTCTATTAAAGAGACAAGTAAGAAAGTGATTAAAAAGCTGCTTCATAAATGTCACAATTGGGCAAATACTGGGCACTGCAGGTCCACACACCAAGGGCTCTAAATCCAGATTTGAAAATGCTTCCTAGAAGGAACGATTCAAAGCACAGGGATATGGGGTAAAGCAGAGGGAGGAAAGGGAGGTTCCAGGACGGGAGCTGAGAAGAGCCCCGCACAGGTGAAGAACAAAGCTCAGCAAGACAGGAGGGTCATGCGCTGGTGGGGATTGGAGAGAACTGCACTGGAGACTGAGTGAGGAGGTGCTGAAGCTCGGGCCAAGGAACCGAACTTCACCTAAGGGCGACGGCAAAGCCAAGATCATCTTGAGCAGAAACTAGCATGGTCAAGATTTGCCTTTGGAAATTATTCTCTGGCTAGAATGTGAGAACAGACTGGAGAAGAAAGGGTAGATGGCGGGGGAGCACATCTCTGTGTTTCTCTAGCTCTATCAACACAGAGATTTCACTAACATGGTGTAACACAGGAGACTGTTACACCAACAGAGTGTAAGAATCAGAACACTGAGGACAGAGAGAAAGGAATAGATTAGAGTGAAATTTAGAAGTAGACATGATAATGGTAACGGATCAGATGTGAGACACGACAGAAAAAGGACAGATAAGGAAAATCCTCAGATTTCTGGCATGGGCCACTAGGCTTGAGAGAACACTGCAGGAGAAATGGTGTGAAGACAATGAGTTTTATGCATCTATCACCATTGGTCTCCTCCATACTACCATGCATTCTTTGCATGGCATTCCAAGCCACTTGTGACCACATGTCTTTTTCATCCTTGTCTCTTGCCACTGTGCTCCTCACATTTTGTATTAGGGCGAGAAAAAAAATCCACAGTTCCAAGACAAAGATCTTTCACATCAGAGTGGCCTGTTACTTGCATGCCGTAAATGTCATTTCCTCCCTATGTGTACTTGAGATTCTCCCACTCATATCTAATCTTGAGCACATCATTTACAACATTTTTCCTGAGATCCACCCCTGCTCAGTTATGCCTCCCTCCTCTGGGCAACCTCCCTATTGGGCTTTGTTACATCAGTGAGATACACTGTAATTAAATCCCTTTGGCTCTCCATCTGCACTACCAGGCCTTCTTGGCAGCATACTGTTTTATGTCTCTGCATCCCAAGTCATTTATTAATCTACACAATAATCCTTTCCTAACCATCAGTCAGGTACTATGCTAGATCTGGCAGCACAAAACCTTAGGCTACATACCTGCCCTGAAGACACCTCAAGCGAGAATCAATCTCTCTCTCTCTCACACACACACACACCCCCAAAGAGAGTGAGAGATAGAGCACGCGCTCAATTATTTGCTTAGTAAACAAGTTAGTGCTCATATGAGAACCGTTTGAGCTCCAAATATTAAAAATCAATACTCATCTTTACATTGCATTTAAGTATCTAGATATCCAAATTACTCCACAAGTCACTGAAAGTTAAAAACACAAGTTTTTAATTATATAATTATATAATTTGTTACTACTTTGAAGAAACATTTTTGAAAGCCTAAATGATCACTTGAACAATGATAAATCACCAGTCTAAAAAAATGTATAGTTGTGGTGTATACCTCGAGTCCTAATGTCAAATCAAAAATTAACAATTGATGCAGAAAGTGTTATGAAATAAATCTAATGAATATCAATGCATCTTAAAAATTTAACCACCACCTTATCAGTGCCTATAAAAGAAACAAACTTGTTTCTGATAAAATATTATTTACCTTTACATACTATTAAATAAATAACTGAAGGTGATAAGAATGTCTTCAGTGGGTCAATCTTTCCTTTTTTTCCACTTTCTTCTTTCTGGTAGCCTTTTCTTACTCTCCCACAAAGAATAATCTACATAACTTTAAATACAGTTTAAGAAATATACATCATTATTAAATATCTCTTCGGAGTTATTTCCTGAGAACCTATGTGCAAATACAAAGGATAATAAAAAGCAATTGGCCACTGTTTGTTAGGGACAGGCAGAGCCAAATAGATAAACATAGTAATATGAGTTAGGGATTATGATACATTCACACCTATAAGGAGGAGGCTGTATGATCCTTTGGAATTAAATACAGCATTTACTCAACCCAGAGTGGACCTCAAACAGGCCAGCCCCGAACCTACTGCTAGGCATTGTAGAAGAACACTCAAGAAAAAACAAAAAAGGCAAGGTTCCATCTCCAGGAGCTAGAAATAAGGAATAAACAGACACCATTAAACTGATTCAGGAGCAGATTGTAGTGGGTGCTATAAAAAGAGCTCAACACAGTGTGCTCTGAGAGGCTGGGAGAGGAGAGAAGAAATATAATGGGAAGAATCTGGAAAGGTAGGCAGGGGAGGCAGCTTCAGAGTAAACTTTCAAGACAGACCAAGACTTTGACAGCAGAGGTTATGCTGTAAAGCAGTATAGATTAACTGTTCTTATGGTGCTCAGAATTATAGCCCTTCAAACATCTCAAAGGCTTGCAAAGGAAACTAAGCGCTGCATGAACAGGAGTCAGATTTGCCTCCTCACTTGTGGGGTATGTGTTGCATGGAAAGTGGAGAGGGAAGGAGTGTATGAATGTCCCCTCTCTTTCACTCATGTAAATACATATGATACATCCCTAGAGCTGAGATTCTGTGAAATCTAGGCTCACTTTAGAAGACAGAGGATGGACCAAAGAACATAACTGAGCCCACTTTGGAGGGCCACCATCCTCATTTTGAGATTGTCATACTGCTGTATGGGTCACTCTGGCCTTGACATAGTTATTATTCCCTACTTTGTGATTTCCTTTTGACAAAAGCTACTTTTCTTCTTGAGCTTCCCAACTTGGTTCCAACTTAAAAAACTGAACTTAAAAACTTGACAGGACCAACGCTCAGTATATTCACTTCACCTAATTCTGGACATTAGTGAGCTTAGAGTGTTTGCAAACCAGTGTAGTCATCAGTATTCCTGTTTAGCAGAGATGACTCCGGAGGTGGTCATATTTTTAGAGGTAAAAAGCAAAACACAAAAATGGTTAAATCTGACAGAGAACAGATGATAAATACCATAGCAACTGCAGAGTACACACTGTGAAGAAAGGTATTTGGAACTATTATATGTTTCGCCCACATTCTCATCATCTTGGATCTGAATCCACATTCTGACCCCTTCTCTACTACTGCCTTCCACTGCTTTCTAGTGTTCTAAAAAATCCAATAATTCTGTATAAAATAGCCAAATGCACCTCAATTTGAAATTTCTTTAAGAAACCAAGTCAGTGCTTATGACTTCAAACCTCGAGCTCGAACAAAGACTACCTTTGCTTCCAGGCAATACAAAGGTAAAAACCTCCTAGGAGTAGGTATCAGCCTTTCCCGGCGACTCGGTTGCCTTTTATCTTCTTAACCCAACTTTAGGTGTACTGGGTACATACCAGAAGTACTCAAATATATTCTGAGTTGCAGTTATTAAATTGCTAGACATTCCTAAAACAACTGATCTTCTTTCTGGTTTAACATACATTTGTTACGTGTGCTTGGCCTCTGCAGACCAGAAAGGTCTGACTTGGCTGAATCCCTCCCATAAGAAAACCACAGAAGTACTTATCCGCCAATCACACTAAACTGAACCCTCAGAGTT